TGAGAGATATATTTTGCTTGCTGTCTCAAATATGGATGACTTTGTGTTTTATCACCAGGATTACAAAGCCAACCAATATGATTGCCAGCTAGGATTCCCTCAAACCTCTCAGCACCACACTAGAAGAGCCCTGGTAATTTTTGACATCTGTGTTGCCAACACCTTGCCTTTGTAAAAGCTATTAAGAAGACTCCTCTTCCCCAGGATGCTAGCTCTGCTGTGGTGGTTTAAAAGACGTCTCAATGCACAACTTTGCTTCTCGTTGTGTGTTATATTACGTGTTTTTTTTTTAATCTGGATTATTAGTCTGTAATTTATTCAACAGGCAGTTTCTGAAATTGTCTGATCCCTAGGCAGAAGATTGTATAAACATTTTTTTGTAATACTGATAACCAAATATCCAAGGGAACTTTGGCACAATATCAAGACACATTTTCACCTTTCCTCTACCAGAAGTTTGAGATTTTTAGACTCCTGGCAGGGTCTTATTTGTCTGACAAGTACCCTCTAGTAAAAGACTCCTGTGGTTCTTCTAATAATCAATAGATACTTTGGAAAAAACAGAATCTCTGTAGTATTTAATTTGGCTGTGCAGTATTTAACTCTAAGCATAGATGCTTATTCAGGAAAGGGAACTGTTAAATGATTTCTTTTGTACCAATGTTGTCAAAAAATGTTTCCCAGTTTCACTGGGATTGTGGGAGTTGAAAGCAGAGAAGAGGTAAAAAATCTTCTCTGTTCTAATTCAGAGGTCAGTTGAATTAAGATACCATTAAATTTGGGGCAGATATTTTAATGAATTTCATAAATACAGCAGATGAATAGAAATAATGGGAGCACAGAGATCTTATTTCCTTTGAATTACTGCTTGTGGCCAAGCAGTTACTGCAAGCAGGCTGGCTGAAAGAGAATGAGTTATATTGAGAGAAATCTTTGGTAAAGAAGAAATATTTCCAAAGAAGGATAATTGCTTCAAGGATGCATTATATAAATACATATTTATGAAACTACGCTTCCCTTTCACTTTAATGTCTGTGCAATTGTGCTGTGCAGCAAACCAGTTAGCAGTCTTGGGAACGCTAGGGGTGAGTGCCCATCTGTAGCTTGTTCTTTCGAGCAGTTGGCAAATTAGAGCTAAGAAATTATAAAATAGAAGTAAAGGAGCATAAGTTTAACTTATCAAATAATATCTCCTTCACGTATATAACTAGAGCATGTCTTCAAATTTTGAGAGAAGAAAACAGGCACATGTTGACTTCCTTGTTTCATTTGCTCTTCATTTTTGTTATGGTTGGCTTATTGAATAGCACCATCTTCCATATATAAAGAAGAGTAAATCCTGTCAGAGGAGGGCAAGTGGATCAAGCAAAATGTAGTCTGAATGTAGTCTGTATTTTGTGCTTGTGAAAGTGCTCTTTCCCACCAGGTAGCACACTCAGCTACTCCAATGGAACCCAAGGTAGAATAATTTTATTGACTCCCATACTGGATATTCCTTTGGTGCAGATGAATACAGCTCCATTTGCTGAGACAGCGAAACTTACCACTTCAGGTCAGTTGAGGATATGAATTTATTGTGGTGATATTGGTGACATATGTATAGATTTGTTGTGGTGACATTAATGACATCATTTATAGATTTTGCGTATTACACTGAGGTTCATACTGTTTGTTTAAGTAAAGTTTTTAGCATCAAAAATATTACCAAATGTTCTTTGTGAACAATGATGTTTCACAACAATGGCATTTCACAGTCTGTGGGCTAGTCAGCTGAGTAAGTAAAAGGCAAGGTAATTTGGTTTTCCAGGTACCTTACTGTTGTAATGAGAAGCATTGATTTTCTAGTAATACTAATGTGTTTAATGACCTTTTTAATGACATCTGTCACTACTGTTTCTTCTCAAATTCTACAGGCATCTTAGGCATTTTCCCTTCAAAAAAAGGAATGGATTTTAATTGCTCGTTATGTTTTTAGAATGAGAATTAGTACTCTTTTTAAAGGAATACAGGGAATTAAAAATATGGGAATTAAAAAAAAATAGTTATGTTTCAAAAGTTACACTTTTTTAGACAAATATACTTCGGAAAACAGTTGCTTGAGCAATACGTGTCACTAGTTTGTCACTGTCAGATTTGGCTAGTTGTTATTACGTAGAATTGAAAGTGGAAGGGTTTGCTGAGATACCTTCTGGCAGCATCTCTCTCAAGACTTTTCTTTCTTCTGCTTCACCTTTTAATGGTACTAAGTGAAGGAGGGATATATGAATTAACAAAATCACCGATGTACCAGAACTTATGAAATACTCATTCCTATAGTTTAAACAGTGCTTGTTTGTCAATGATGGACATTACCTTCAGAAGTAAGATAGAGCTTGCCTTAAAAAACTCTGTTTTCTACTTATTTTCTTCTACTGTCAGCTGCTCTCAAATTTGGCTATCAAACGCCATCTGTTTAAAGGCACAGTGGTGCTCGTCAATGGTAGGGATTAGTGTCACTGGAAGTGGCTGCAGCACTGCTACATGGCTTGCTCTCACTTCAAACACTTCATTTCATCCTCTGTTCCCGAGGGACGAGTGATCACGAGTGATCACAAGTGATTTGCAGGACACGAGGATTTTCATAAGCTGCTTTTCTTCGTCGGTTAACAAAGATTATGCGTGATACAGATGACCCGCGTGGCAGGTAGCAGCAGCGCCTGGCTGACCAGATCTCGCTCGGTGTCGGAGCAGCTCTTCCCGCTCCCGGCCCACCTGCAGGCACGGCCTGCTGCCGCGCTCAGGCCCACCGCCCGGGCAGGCGGCACGGCGCGGTTGCTATGACAACATCAGCCAGTCCCCGTCTGACACAACCACGTTACTGCAGGAGCTGGTAGGGAGCATTAACCAAAACAGTCACCCAGCACTCGCGCTGGCGCGCTGGTTGGGATCGCGTGTGCCGTGCGCTCAGGTGCTGCATCTCCGCTGCATGTTTCTCTGTGCGTGCATGTTTGGAAGAAACAAATTTTGCTGAAATGCTGTGGCATGTCCATATAATATGTTAAAGTAGTGCGTTAAAGTATGGGTGACTGAAAGCAGTGTAGATTAGTGTGATGTTACCCATAGCTCCTTCATTTTTCCATTGAAATGAATGAGAACAAAGTCAGAAAAGCTAAGCATGTAGCACAGTATACAGTAGAAAAAGTTTCATCTGTGTCCTCCTTTGCATACAGCATGGAGAGAGCAGAATCAGGCTCTCCTCCTTTTTGCATACCACCTTCTGCAAAGAAGGTAGCTTGAAGGTCTGCTTTTAGCAACTAAGATGCACATGAAGTGTGGGTGGAAAGGGGATACTGAATTAATTGAACCAGGGGTTGTGGTTCACGTCATGAAATAAACCAGCTTGCTTTAACAGATTTCATACAGCAGCTGAAACAGAGAAAGCGAGCTTGCCAATAGCAGGAGCTAATGCTTCAGTACCTTTCATTCTCTACTCTGAAAAGGAAACCTCTTCTTGAGCTCATTCATTTTCCAGAGGGAAAATCGAATGCTGTGGCATATTGTCAGAGCTGCTTTATTGTCACCATTTACAAAGGTCAGCTGAATTAATTGACTTCTTACTCTACATATTGTTAAGCTACCCATTTCCTGACATTTTTGGGAAGGTGGCAGGCTTACAGCCATTGGCTGTCTGTTTCACAGTGTTTGTTTCTGAAAACACAGTAACGGAAATTACAAATAAATAATTGTTCTGCTGCAACAGAACAGGTTCTTTATGATGTTCTGCAAGGTGCACAGGGTGAGTGGTGGTAAAGGGGGGGAGGTTGAGGAAATAATCTGTATATTGAGCTGTTTATAATGCAGGCATAGCATTCTAAAAGGCAAATGAAAACATGCAGGAATATTACAGGTTTTTTTTTTTTTTTTTTTTCACTTTGAAGCATGCAGCAGATACCTAACCTGTCTTTTTCATGGTGTAAACTAAAATCTCTCTGGCTTTCTCTGGTGCATGAATCACAGATCCATTCTGATGGACTTCACTGAATGTGTTTTCATCTGAAGGGATACTAGGATACTGTTATACTGCATAAAAGAAATGACACATACATAAATACAAACACGTTGGGCAACAATATTGCTAGCATGGAATTTTATGTTGATTAAATTGATTAATCATTGCTGTCTTTTTTTCTGGTCTCTCCCAGACACATTTACTGCCCCCTCAGCTTCCCTGTCTTGGGTTCTTCTCTTTCTGAACAGCAGTGCTGGGCAAAAACTCAAAACTAGACATGTGAACACAAAGACAGGGAAAGCAAAGATAAACAGTCTCATGCCTTCCCATGCTAAAGCAGGCACAGCTTTTACAGTGATGAATTTGAACAGTCTCCTTATATGAAAGTACACTTTGGAGGCACCCTGCTGTGATCCTGTTAATTACCAAAGAAGATGAGAACTCTCCTGCTTAATGCGATCCTTTTTACCTAGCGCGTCCGTTCCAGCTGCATCAGTAATCAGACATTCACACTGTCCCTTCGGACTGAAAAGGGGATGTTTTTAAAGCGAAGTCATTTGCCATAGTCCTTAAGATGTAGCCTGGCAGAAATTCAATAACTGTTTGTGATATGCTCACTCAGCCTTGCCACTCTGTGGGCTTTAGGTCCTGACATAAACAGCATTTCCCTTAATCCTAGCCCTGGTGAGAAGAAAGGAGGCTGTCCTGTGTCTTGTTTTATTGGTTTCAAAACACAGAGCAACTGTGTAATTTGATTTTGCAACTGAAACATCAGGGGGAACGTTCTCCCTTTATGATTTGGTACCCTTTGATGTTCTTTCAAGCTAACAAATGCACAATTCAGATACTCTCACAAGCATATTTAGATTATCTCCGGCACAAAATGCAAATTGCATTTGCATTTCTGTTCAGAAAGTAAAATGTGAAAATATGCTAATAAAACTTTACAAAAAGAAGAAAGAGTTCACATGTTAAGATATAAGGACAAGATAGAAAATAAAGAGGAACTTACCTTTCGATAGGAATAGTTTCAGAGCTGGAGGAGTTCTCGCATCTCAGTAATTTTGATCCTCGGTTCAGGCAACCACATACTTGTATTAAAGCCAGAGTCTGAATACGTGTGTGTATGTGTGGGTGTGTGTCTAATGGTATATAATACAGAGATGTATCTATCGATATCCTACAGCATGAAAGACTCTCTGTGCTGCCAGCTGAGATCCCTTATGTTTGCCAGGGCGCTGTTGCTGCCTGCCTGGCTGAGGCTCGCAATCCAGCGGGGGGAGCGGGAGCGAGGGATCGCTGCTCGCTAGCTCTTATTTCTCCTTGTTTCCATGGTGGTTAGCGGTGCCTTGTCCGCCCTCTGGGCTGTCACTCTGACATGGTGCTGCCTGCTCAGCGGTCATTAATAACTGAGCCCCTTCCACTCCCCAGAGAGGAGCCAGTGCTCCGGCGTGCCCAGCTGCAGCGTAGTGCGCGGCTGCGCCAGCCTGGTTGGCCGTGGGAAGCTGTCTGTTACGTGACACTGATGCTTCGGGGACGGATGCACGAAACAAGCCTCTGTACGCTCCCAGACACCTCTTCCGATTTGTGGGAGTTACAGGACGTGGTTCGTGTTTTCGCAGAACAGCTCAGAAGGTCTAAATTCCTTATTTTTATTTTTTTTAGGGCTGTGTAAGGATGTTATCTGTGTTGGGAACAACTGATTAGAGATCACTGAAGTTCTGCAGAGGTTACTGCAGTTCAAGGGATGCTGTCTGTGGAACCATTCAGGAAAATTGCCATCATTTTGCTGCTTTTACTTTTAGCTTAAGTAAAGGATTTTTCATACTCCTTTTCCAAATTTTGTTATTTACATATATATATATATTTGCATGTTTATTAACAGAAGGTAAGAGTAATAACACACCTTTCTCAGAAACAAGGAAAGTCAAGAATGAATTGCGGAAGGAGTTGGTGAAATACTGTCAGTTTCCTTCAACATCTCTCTACCTGATTGTCTCCTCTGTGGCCATCCAAGTATGTAAACAAAGGACTACGCAGATTTTTCCCTTCCAGCCTTCCTTCTTCCTTTGCTTTTCCTTTCTCCCTTCTTTGTGCCATGTTGTTTGGTTTCAGTTTTTTTCTTTTTCCTGTGTGAACAAAGGGCATACAAACCATGGAGGTTTCAAACATCATGAAGTAATTCAAAAATCTTTTATCAATTTAAGGGAAATCTATACTGAAATTTATTATACCTTCGAGGTATAAAAAACAACAAATGCTAAATGCCGTTAGGAGAAGTTTTTTGTAATGCATACTGTTTTTTTATGAAGGAAATTATTTGGTAATAGAAGACTGACAATAGCAAAATGCAAAGAGTTGTTTGTCAACAGGTCGGAACTAAGAAAATGTTGGCTGTCTTGCATGAATTCAGCATTCCAGCCCTGATTGACACAGGCCACCCTCTAGTGGAGCACAGGGAAATTTGGTTCACATTTCACACTTCTATGTTTTTTCCATACTCTCTAATAACAGTATGAAATATTTCTAAATATTTAGCAAACAATGTTAATGTACTTCTTGCAACAGCAATAGCACCACATTTCTATTATGAAATGTTTACTATTTTATGAAAACTCTATTTAATTTTGATTCACTGTGAGATCGTGGACTGCATTATTTTTGTTTTTATTCTGTCAGAAAATAATTTTGCACTTCACAAAATCACTTACTACGTAAACTGAATTAATGCAATGGCAACTTCTTAAATGTATTTCTTTTTTTTATTTTTATAATTGGCTAGGGAAAAATACTGTAAAATCTAACTCCACTGGTACTTACGTTGTTGTGGCTGTAATAAAGCAACAGCATTTTTTTCCTTCTTCCTCTAATTTTTGAATACTGCAACTAGAATAAGTAAAAGGTACAACTTTATTATTCTTTAAAACCGTGTGCAATCCAGTTTTCATAAATGCATTTGAGTAGAACATGTCATACATGAAGTATGAGCATTTAAATGACAGGTGGAAAATACATATAGTACTCTAGGGTGGGTGGAAGGCCTGTGGCCCTTCTTTTTTCTCCCATTCCTTTATTATGGACCTTTTTTTCCCCCTAAAGTGAACTAGAGAAGTATAACAAAGCCACTTGGGGCCAGTGCATCTCTAGCTACCTTCCAGTTCTTTATGCCTTGTGCTGCACCACAAGCTGGAGATGCAAACTGTTGTAAACTTCCCAAAGTGAACTTATGAGCATTCCATGCTGCTCATCTTAAGAGCCTGTTCTGCTGAGACGGGGCTCGGGATGTTTCAAGAAAGCACAGCCAAAAGCAGGAAAAACGAAACTGCTTGCTATGCTACATCCCATAGGAAAAATGGAAATCCTGCTTTATTCCAGCCACGTATTATCACACCCAGCCCTGGACAAAGTACATAAACCTCTGCTCCACGCATAGGTTGGGCAGGGGGATGAGAAGAAGGAAGTTAAAAGGAAAGATAAAAGAATTGCATAAAATCTGGACAGAGTTGAAAAAGGGAAAAGGTTCCGTTAAAGCTGACAAGGTGCCCCTACTTCTCTGATCTCATCCCATGGAAAAATTAAGATCTGGAATAAAGGGACTGCTGCTGTTTTACATAAAGATTTCTTGTGTTTTGCCCCAACCTCGCATACTCACAATCATTCAAAATCTAGCTTTCTAGTTAGCATGAGAATCATGCAAAATCATATTCAGTGATTTGACATGTGAAATTAAGATTATGTAAGTGCTTCATTTTGGTTGATTGCTATGGACTGTGTAATTAGAAGGCTAAATAATTAAATCAGTTGAAGTATACTTGCATAAAGAAAGTGAATTCTTATGATAGAGTATATATGCAATTAAAATACCTCCTTGATAGGCATACATTTACATATTAGTTAAAATGTTATTATATCATAATAAAGTTCTGTCTCATAAAAAAAAGTGAAATAATTGAATTTTTTAATTTAGCTGATGCAAAGAAATAATTTTTTTTCAAACTATCTGCTGCAGAAAAATACCTTTTGTAACAATACAGTCACGATGATTAGGATTCATTAAGTTATTTTCCTGCTGATTTCAGTATGATGCTTGGTGGTTTTAAAATAGCAGTGTAATCTATTTCACCCGAATTATATACATAGCTTTTTAGGTTATAGGATAGAAAGAAAAAATCTCAGACTGATGGAGATATGATGAAAGTAATGTATGCTAGCTCCAGGTATCTATTTTGCATGCATTTTATCTGATTACTGGGTCCACATGATAATAAGTAATTATTTATCTGGACAATTAGTGTGATGCATAAAAGCCTTAGTTATTAAAATACAGCAGTTCTATACCAGCATTTTTCTTAAAACTTTAAAATTGAAATAAGATTTCAAAACTTGTTTTTTGTTTTCTGGTGTTTTGTTTGTTTGTTTGTTTGTTTGTTTTAATTAGGGTGAAGGATGGAGCATATCTGGCCTTTTATATCCTGTAGGCTTATTGTGGCTCAGGGATTTGAAGACCAGTTCTATATTTTTAGTCTCAGATAACACAGCTGTAGTTAAAATGCTGCAAATGTAGTTTAAAACTGAACAAATATTGTGCAATTAAATGAAAAAAAACCCACAAACACAAGTATTTGATTTAAATTCTAACATGAAACACTTTATATTAAAATTAGCAGTTACAAAATTCTTCTAAAAGTGCTTATCCACACTGATTATGTCCACATGTAAAGCAGCAGACGCATTTTAAGCAGCTTTATCAATTATGAATACATTTGCCCCTTCTGAGGCATTTACATTTACTTTCTGAGGCACCACAGTGACAAACCGAAGGGTAAAGTGGCGACTCTTTGCCCTCTTCCTTCCTGTATCCCTTAGAGCAAAAGAGGAGGGAGCTGACGTTTGACAGATGAATTCTCACCCATTCTGCAAAACATTTCTCCTCTCGGATCTGCCATGTGACATGTGGGGGGATGTTCCATTCGGGATGAATGCTGCAATTGTTCAGATTCAAGAAAATCTATCTTGTGACTTCATCAATGAACTTATTAATTGACTTATTAATTATAGCCAGTTGTCATGCATGATGTGCCTTAAAGAGAGACAAAAAGGCCACTGCTTCCTGTAACCCTGTTCTAGCAGCATATTCAGTGCTGTTTATGCAAGGGCATTAACCTGACACTGTCACATTCCTTTTTAGATATTATGGCAACTAACTATTGACGTTTTCCTAAGGGCTATGCTTCCATACAGACGAGTAGTAACTCATGTTAATGCGTCTCCCTCTGCAATTGAACCATTTATTCATTGCAAAAGCAATGCTTCAAACCTGGTTCTTTGTCTATTTTTTATTTTTATATATATTTTTTTGAGATGGAAGGCTTATTGCCAACAATTAGTTTGAGCTTCTAAATTAGTTTGTACTTCATAACGGAGAGTGTTGTGCTCACCTTACTTAACCCACTAGCAACTTTGTTTTATTAGTTAGTGTTGATAGGAATAAAGCAGATGGAAACAAACCTAGGCCATGAACCTATAAATAATTTCATATAAGAATAAGTTCACATCTACACAAGCACCAGATACTACATTGAAAGCTATGTAGGTAGTAGATGCTCTACAGCTTGGCAAAACTGGAATTGCTTAGTAAAAGGAGCTGTATAGTACAGGCAAGTTCAATCACATGATGTGGATGAATGAAAGCAGTGATGATCAGCTGATGCTTATCTTGGTGACGGAGGAAATTTTGCATATTCTAGCAAGTTCGCTTATTCATGTAGCAGTTATGTTCTATGAAACAGAAAATACAAGCTCCCAAGCAAGAACTAAAGTATGATTCCTTGTTACAGGTCTCAGTACTATGTGAGCCTTTCTGAAGAACAGCAGTCTAAAAAATCTTAGTGTTTTTTTTCATACTGGCACCTGTCAGGTCCAACTTGGAGTAATATCAAAGTTCTTCTAATTTTTGTCTCTGGATCTATTTACATAGGCAGGAATCTCTGGCATAGCAGCATCCTCTGAAAGCTAAAAATGAGTCACACGTAGCAACCACCACCTCGCTATGCTGCGTAGGAATCTTAATGAAGATGGAGTAGTGAAAAACAGCTAGAGAGTTCTGTGCAGCTGGATTAGATCGATGAATTATGGGATCTGTAAAGAGGTTTTGAACCTCAGTGTGTGCATTCAGTTTTAGATTTCATCT